CCAGCCTGAAGCTGATCCACGCCTCTCCCATGCCAGCAGCTCTCGTCCTCGGCACACGTTGGGGAACAGGAGCACCAGAAAGTACGCCAAGTCTCTACCGATTTTCAGCTGCCTGTATTTTCTTCGGTGGCATCTGTGCTAGAAAAGAAAAGGGACCGCAGCCCAGTCACGAGTCGGTAGCACGTTACAGCTCATATTCACGTGGCTAACCCTTCTGCCCTCCCAAAGGTAGGGGGGAGATTGTTCTTATCGCCGACTAAAACCAGCCCCTATCCCGTATCTGACCCCTGGTCCCACGTCTTGCTGTGCCTTAACCTGAGTGCTCCATGGCCTGGGCCCTCTTTAGCAGGGAGCGTAGTGACAAGGAACAAGGGGTAATGGCTTTAAGCTAAAAGAAGGAAGATTTAGATCTGTTAGGAAGAAATTCTTCACTCAGAGGGTGGTGAGGTGCTGGGACAGGCTGCCCAGAGAAGCTGTGGCTGCCCCATCCCTGGAGGTGCTCAAGGCCAGGCTGGATGGGGCTTTGGGCAACCTGGGCTGGTGGGAGGTGTCCCTGCCCATGGCAGGGGGCTGGGACTGGGTGGGCTTTAAGGTCCCTTCCAACCCCAACCATTCTGTGATTCACTCCGTGATTCATACCAAAGAGCGTGCTAACTGGTAAATGCCGTGGATTATCACATGGTAGAGCTCAAGCATGTCCGTGGGCCCTGTTTAGCCCAGTAATACAGATGTAACCTTATGAACCACATCCAGTTGGCAATACTTACAACTGGACTAGCTTGCTCCAAATTAAAATTGTAATGGCCTGAAAACAAATAATCTACAGTTATCCGTCAGGCTACCGTTGCTTCTACTTGAACAGAAATGTCAATGAACGTAAATTCTGATGTAATCTGTGATTTAAGGAAAGAAAGCATGGAAAATCAGAAAAGAAATCAGTAAGTTGAGAATCTTAGAGGAGGACAGCAAAAGGTAAAGCAGTACTTAACTAACATGGAAGTGTTTTTAAATGGAAAGCTGGGTAAATGCGTGAATATTCTTTTCACATAAGCACATAAGTGAATATTCATTTTTCAAGCATTCACGTTACTGATTATTGTTTTCACATATTCTTTTACAATAAAGAAGTTAGTGTGTGACCATTTGGGTAAAGAGTTTTGTTTCATTACGAAAAAGCACTTTGGGTCCTACCTCCATGGACCTCCTTGTAGGATAAAAGCCCTGCACATAATGCATTTGGTTAGGGTGTTTAATTCTGAGACTTTCGAGAAGGGCCTGATGCTGAAGTGGGCACACTTGAGAAGAGTGACCTCATCCTGCACATGATGCAATAAGTTCTTTACTGAATATTTATACAGATTTCAGAAAGGGATACGCAATAATATCTTGGGATTAATATAATCTCTGTATTACTTGGACAGTTTTCCAGTATGTGATGTAATTACTATTAGGTTCCAGGTCATATTTTGACCCAGTGAGGTCACCAGTTGTTTTCGTTATCGTTTCTGATTTTACAGGTTGTGGAGAGCTATGTGCAGGATACACAGAAAGGGGAAATAAAATTACATTCACAGACTACTTTAAGACCTGGGATTAACTGCTTAACTTTGAAGACAGAAAAAAAAAAAAAAAAGGAAAGGAAAACGTGGCAAATCAGACAATGTCAGAACATGAGCTGTTAGCATTCAGTTGAGTATTGTCATTGAAGTTGCTCAGACGTAGAAAGAGGAAATAAACTGTGCAAATATGAGCCGTAGACAGATTTTGAAAGGGCGTCAGCTCCTCTGGTGAGTGCTGAGGATCTCCACTTTCTAATTTAGTCTTCAAAGTCAATTCTTGAAATACCTGTCACAAGTGTAGTAAACTCAAGTGAGGTATCAGAGTGCCATTAGGTTTATGAGAAGAAAGCTGTCCCTTTTTCTTTGTATGCTACATTTGAAAATAAGTAAAATTAAAGCACTAATGAGTTCTAGAGCTGTGTTATGTCGTGCTGTTATAACCACGCCTATAAAGCTCGAGGCATTTCGGTGCGGAGTGTCACAGGCAGTTCAAAACAGAACAGCTAAATGCAAAACAAGGTAACCACTCGTGGAAACTTGCTGAATTGACTAAATGTGTGTAATCCGCAAACAAAGTGATTTTGGTTGGTTAAAGGTTCTGTATATATAGTACTGACAAAATTCAGTCACTATATGAGGGACATAAGGAAATAAAGCACAAGTTTAGGATGCTGTAGATCAAAGGAAAATGTCCAGAAATTGTAAAGGAAAGTAAGGAGTAGATGTTTGGAAACAATTTAATAGGAAACAATTCTTAATGTAACGCTGAGAAACAAACAGCCCATGATAACAGCTATTCAGCAATAAATTTGTCTATAGAATAAGTAAAATTATTTGTTTGGAGAAGCAGTCCTGAAGAAATGCAGGACTTGCCTGCAGCTGTCTGGAGGAAGTCACTGGCCTTTCTGGCTTTACTGTATTGCCATCACCTGGATGTGCAATTTGATGGGAACTATGTTGGGAAAAAGCACCTCTACAATGTGAATGCATAGCTCTGTATCCTTGACTTGCTCTGGCTTCAGTAGAGTTCTGTTCTTGCAAACAGTAGAAATTACACGTTTGAAAAGGCAAGAGAATATCAATGTAAATCATAAGAAAGTAGAATTGCATACACATGGATGGAGAAAAAAAGCAAAGCAAACGTCACATTTATTACCTATCTGGCTAAAAAAAATAATCTTTCTTACACTGACCTTGTAATTTTGAAATGCAAATGCTTTATATAAAATTCTAATACTGCGATCCCCTCAAGTGCAGCTTTAGAAAATAGCATGAAACAGACACAAAATATTTGAAGTCGTCCACTTCTCTCTGAATGCGTTACATACTCTGAAGCTAATGCCTCAGCTGCTGGAACTAACAGTTCCTGTTTTGAGGAAAAAAAAGTCATTTTATGACTTCTCTGAAAAGAGATAGGGGAAAATATGACAGCAGGTAGCACAGGTAAGACCGTCTGCTGGAGAAGTGTTCATACACTCACTCCTGCTTAAATCATCCCTTGCTGGGGGGTGCCTCTCTCTTTTTCCCAGAGAAGTGGGGGACATTGTTTTGGGGAGCTGCTACACTGGGGTACGGCTAGGAGGAGGCGACTACATCAGAAATTGATTGGAGAGCAGAGGAATTGCAAGCAGGCTTTTCCTGAGCTGAGGAAGGGGTGGGTCTAAGCTGGGAGCTCTTGAGCTCTTCGTCATCGAGAGCACACCTGGGTGTCATGGGATGGGGATCTTGGGCAAATGGGTAGGTTAATTGGGTTACAAAGAACTGCTAAATTTCAGGAATTCATTATGAAACTACCCTATGAATAGACTGTATGAATATTAAAAAGCAAAACCAAACCGTAGAAACCACTTCTTAGAAGAACTTTCATATGTGACTGTGGTGTAGCTGCACAGGCTGTGCAAGTGAAGTAGAGCAAAGAAGCAGAAAATCTGGGCTGGATGTCATAAACCGCCGCCCAGTTTTCCACTTTTTTCTTTCTTTCCAAGGAAATAATTTGGAGGTTCCTGGGATAAACCAGCTTGGGTTAAAAAAAAATAAAGAGGCTGGATTCTCTAAAGGCAGGCAGCTGGAAATAAACGTGAAGAAAGACAGCCACGGCAGCATTTAAAGCACTTTGATCTGTTATCTTACATCCTTTTGTTTTACTTTACTTGGTCCAGAATATTTCGGCTTTATTCAGACAAAACTCATATTGAAAACGGTGCGGAGTGTGACGTGTTTCCCATGAACTAATAATCGTGTCATCAGCAAAAGGGACTCCACTGCACATTTTAGCTAGCAGCGTTTTTCTACCTCCAATTCAGAAGGCGTTAGTGTCTGTTTGGAGACAGCAGAGAGAGAGAGACGGGCTTTGAGTCAAACCTTCCTTCTGTTTATGCCTGATTCGCAAAGAAAGCGATATTTATGCCTGCCTGTCCAGAATATTATAATTCTTGTTTTAGCTGTTAAAACCTAAAAATACAAGTTGTGTTGCTAAACAGAAAGCACAGAAAATTCTATTTTATCCAGTACTTGGAAGGGAATGAGGAAAAAAAAGAGAACAAGTCAACTACTCTACATTCAAAGAAAATTAAGAGCCATTACTGACTTTCAAAATAGTTACTGAAGAAATGGATGGATTCGTTTTGTTTCAGTGGTCCACAAGACCTGCACTACAAAATCCCAAATGACATGGATAGTATCTAGTTTTACAGATGGAGCAAAACTGAAAAATGCTCAGACAAAATGGCCAGAAAAAAAAAGCACCAGTGAATAAAACTGCTGTATCTCTGTGCTAAAATAAAACGTAGAAAAGGAGAATGATTTTGATGCCCAGGTAAAAGTCTGTAGGAGATCATATGAGTGAAAAGGATTTTGGAAAGCGAGATTTATAAGGCAGGTTTTGAAAGAGCTGTGTTTGTTTAGTCTACAGAAGGGAGGGCTGAGGGGAAAATAAAATAATCTGACATCTAAAGATTATTGTGAAGAAGACAGTCATCAATTGTCTTTTGTACCCAGTTGTGGACGGACAAGAAAAGATTATCTTAATTTACAGAGAAGAAGAACAGGCTACATATTTGTTAAATTCTTTTAAGTCCAAGGACAGTTAAAGGCTGGAGTTGGGCTATCTAGAGATGCTGGAGCATCTTCCTCACTGGCAATTTAGCAGACATTAAACAACAAGTTCCTGCCATCACAGTGCTCTTACATACATCTATCTTTCCTAATTCTGTTGGCTGCACTCAACACAATAAATAATCGGGAATTCAAAGAAGTAATTTGAAAAATAAATTCTGGAATGTGGAGATGAAATTGGATAGCCTGAACACATGATAAATCATCAAAAATGCAGGTATCTTTTTTTGTCAATAGATGTGTTTTTGTATTTTATATGCCTTTTTATACTTTAATGTTCACCGATTTCAACTTTGAAGTTCATGTGCATGTGATTTCTATTTACAGATCATGGGCAAGGAGAAAACCCTTTACCTATCCACGCGAGCAATGCTATTACCCTGCTTACACTCCTTAATTGTCTGGACGGGAAGCTTGGCTTCTGGTTCAACCACATGCTCTTCAGGTATGTATTGCTTTGTTGATATTACGGGGAAATACTCTGCATTCAAAACATATGTAGTTTCTTTTAAGTCATATATAGATAACTAGAGTGTATTATTTGACAGAAAATCTGAGAAAGTCCTAAGCAAAACCAGAACTTTGATGATCAATTTTACTTTCTGTGGTTAACAGCCTATTTTTACTGTGATAAGTAAAGCCTGTTAGTAATAAAAATGAAACCTAGTATCTGTGCTGTCATAATGGAACCCTAAAGTGAAATTAGTTAGTGATATTAGAAAGTATCACTTGTATTTGTGCTCCAAACCTCAAGTTATTTTATTTTCCTGTACTCAAAAACAACATTAAAGAATATGTATGGTTCATGTTACCAGCATTCATGGCCTTGATTATAACGGGAATCATTCATATACATGCTGTCGGTAGAGCATAAAATATGTGACATAAAAGAGCAAGGATCTTGAAGGAATGAAGCTCATTTGCCTATTCAGAGTGCTGACAGAATTCAGGCTGCTCAGAATACTGACTAGCATGTCTGTTCTTCCTAAGAAATTCAGTTTGAAGGAAAACGAGGAAAACATTTAATTATATTTATTACTGTGATAAATACTAAAAATGCAGATCTGGTAGCTGCTTAAGGGCTTATGTGTTCATCCCAAGCAATAGTTAAACTCTTCAGATTAAAATGTTTATTTTCCAGTGATAGTTCTTGTATTTGGTCTGTGAGAGAAGAGGCTATGAACGTTTGAAAATGGGGATTTTTTTTGTACCTTCTTCCTTCAAACTGTGTTAGAAATGTTTCAGTTATTAGAAGCAGCTGTATTAAAAACATGAATAGCACACAGAGCCTCAAGTGCCTTCTGCTCAGTTAAGATTTAAGTAAGAAAGTTAGAAAGAGAGGAAGATTTAAGTCAGAAAGTAAGAGAAGTAGCCCCCCTTCACTTTTGTAGATCTGTCTTGATATAGAACCAAGGGGCTTCAGTATAACTTTCCTGTTTTGTACGGCACATGAATCATCTAGATTGACCTGCCTTTGGTTTAATTTAGTTTAATTTTTTTAAGTAAGACACATTTACTTTTGTTATTTGAGAATTAACTTAGAAGGAGGACACCAACGTCTTGAAACCTTCATAACACAAGCCAATCCAGAAAAAGATTGGTATCAATTCAGTGTAGTTAATTTTGGGAGTCTTATTTACCAACAGTAATTGATGGCATTTTAAGGCTGTTTGCTACAGGCAAAGTAACCGTATGTTAAAATTCCCACCGAACTGTGGAACAAGCATATGAATCACAAACCTTTGCCATCTTTAGATTAATATAGTTCAGAAGAAAAACAGTTTTCCTCAGAGAAGCTGTTGGAGGAACATGTCTAGCAAATAACCTCAGAATGTTTAACTCACACTTTTTACAAGGAAAGGAAAATAAAATTTCTGGATAGAACTAAAATACTGCTTTATAAACGGCTCTGAAAGTTGAGTGACTTGACTTCTCATTAAAATCCAAGAAGTCGCTTGTTCTCCAAGATGTTTAATGAAGAGAGAATAGTGGTTCTAAATTGTGAGATGCTGTAATGAATAAAACAAATTGAGAAAAATGCAGAACTGCTAAGTCTCCTTTTATTTACAGTTGAAATCTAAGCTAGCCTGCTTTTACTTGTCAGAACTTGCTCTTCAACATGGGTATTAATTCAATAGAATTAGTAAGTGAACATTCACATTTATAGTTTGAAGTTATAAAATATGAACTCTATTTTCTGCATTCCCATTTAATATTTTATTGATCAGTTAATCCTTTTTTTTTTTTTTTTTTCTGACTTAGGAAGTATTTACATAACCAGAGTGGATTTATTAGGAAGAAAAAATCAGTTTCCCTGCATGTCTTCAGAGGCCCAATGCAGCTATTATGGAAATCGACTCCCAGCAAGGGTCTATTATCTAGTTTGGATAGTATGATACTGAGAAAAATATATGGCTAAGAGTATAGAAGGCTCTAACCTCCTTTTTCAAAGGTGCCAATTAATTTGTCATTTCATAATTTCGAAAATTTTTCTTCAGGCTTTCTTAAGATTAAATAAGGACGTTCAGAAACAGTAAGAATAATTAAGGGGCAGTTAGGGAGAGGAAGAATATATGCAGTTTGATTGAGTTGAGGTAAACAACCACAGACAATTAAACTGGAATGATGTAATATCATTTAAGTTAGCAGCAGAACGTATAATTGGAAGGCGTGTGATAGAACTGGGAAAACATGATGTGCAGTCGTTCTGAGTTAAGCTATCTTACCCAATTTAATAACGTTTTAAAGAGATGCTAATCCCCTATTTAGCATGATCGAAATCGGACTGGACAAAGTGCTAGAAACTTCAGAAAGACAATCCTGTGGTTGGGTATAGGTTGGGAACTAATCATTGGCATTGAAAAGTTCAGGAGTTCTGGCCAATTTTGAGGACTACAAGAGGGTCAGAATCAAGAAAAAAGTTTCTCTGGAGTATTAGAGATTGCTCCCCATAGAAATATTGTGATATACCAGGACCAGTATAAAGAGGAGGATGCTCTCTTAATGCAGTTTGTGTGTTGATTTGTACAGCCCAGCTTTCCATCTAAGTTTGCCCAAGCACTGAAAGTTATTTTAATTGCCCAGTTTCTATAAAGTGCACGAATAACTCATCGGGGATGCTTTTGGCCCCTTCTTTCAGTGCTCGAGTAGACAGATTTCATTGCTGGTGTGTATGCGCCCTGTGAGCACAAGGCCAAATGATTTGGACAAGCAGAGTCTCGTAGATGCTATCAGTGGACTACTACTTGAAGCACCCTCGTTTCTCTATCCTCGGGGCATTAAATAGTGGTGTGAGTACAAACATTCAGGATTTCATTGTTTCCATCCTACCACGACGATGGAAATGGTGCAGTACCGGTGCTGTGTGATTCCTTTAACTTTACAAGCAATACTACAATTAATTTCATGCAGTAAATTAGGTCTACCTAAGAAATACGGTTTCAATTAACATACTAGATATATCTCTTTCTGTAGGGATAGGAGAGCCATAAGTTACTGGGGGTTAAGATATTCCCTAGCATGATTCTTCAGGACCTGTTTATGACACTGCTGTTACTGCAGAGGTACGTGTCCCACCGTAACATTTCCTCTTTCCAAGAGGAAACGTACAGTGGAGGAAGGATAAAAAAACACCCGAGTTTGTTTCTAAATTCCATGAGCAAAGCCCCAGTTGTGCTTTAAGGCAGCGTCTCTTGCTAAGTGTCCTACAAGCTGTGATTCGGGGCTCCTGGGACACATCTGTTGCCACGGTCAGCTCGCACTGACAGGGAAGTCTGACGGAAGCAGGAGAGGCGTGATTCCAAGCACGAGCTGCTGCCCCTGCACGTAGCACGGGATAAAAGATTCAGCAGCAATACGGTGCGTTTTTGATTCATGTGCTTCAAGTCCAAGGCCTGAAAAGACCAGTTTTAGTGCTTGGATGCTCCCCGCAGGGACCTCAATAGACACTGGCTTTGTGCTGAGCGCCGTACGTATTTAGAGCCCTGGTGGTGGTGATCACCTTTGTAACTCCAGTGCCGTCTTACACATAGTGCTGAGTGACTCCTGCCTTTTCTCTTACTCTCTACCAAGCTATCCAGCCTTCAGAAACAATAAACACCAGAAATAGATTCCCTTTTATGACTGACTTCAGAAGCAAACGTACCACCACAGATCAGCGACAGAACCTGCTGTACCTCCAGCTTTCTGTACAGGAAGGGTGAAGGGGCTGGCCGTCCAGCGTGAGCCAGCAGTGCCTCGGCACTTTCATTTGCTGTTTCAAATTCGGGCTGGAGTAGTATCCGTAATCTCCTAACCAACCGCTAATCCTCAGGGATTTTGAACTGTCAGCCTGCAGGATGTCTGGTTTTTCACATAGGGGTCCGTGCAGCAGATTCCTAGCAGGAACGCCGGTCTGCTCTGCAGAGTGCAACCCTTCACGAGTCTTTCTGGTGAACCAAGGGGCATTTTTCTGGCCTTCCCCAAAAGCAGTTGTCGTGGCAGCCTGCCTCAGAAGATAGAGAGCTGAAGCACAGTGCCACCACAGATGATTGATTCAGTTCACACAGGTCTGAAACTGTAGGATCAGAAGTTCTCAGACTTAAAAAAAACAACAAACAACAGCACCACTGATTTGTAACACTTGGTTATGGAGTTGCTGTCACACACCATGTTATCGAGAGCTTTCTGCTTCCCAGAGGGGAGATCCTAGATGGCAACAGGTCAATTAAATCCACTTCTAAGTCATCTGTTAAGATCAAGTGAAAACATCTCGGCGTTTATAGTCTCTCACCAAACATTCGGCACTTTGTCTACGTTCTGACTGAAACCACAGCCCTGCCTGACACATGCCACATCAGATGGCTATGGTACACAAAGAGGTCTTCTTCTCATGAAACTCTGGACAAACCAGTCACAGATACTCGGTAGGGTGTTGTCTTCACGTGTCACATCTTGGCTGTGCCAAGGATCAGGGTGACAAATCTATTCAGAGATGCTCATATTCAAAACCTCTGTGATGCTAAAGGGATGCTGAGTCAGGACCCTCTGCCTTGAACAAAAAGTATGCTTGGTTTTGTTTGCCAAGGAAGTGCTGATAATCAAAGTGATAATTATATTTTGTCAACAAGCCAGCAAGGGGCGAGAGTATCTTCAGGAGCTTCCCTATGATGTACGGCTCTGAATTAAACCAAGCAGAACCAGGCAGTGGTTAGGGTAAGAGCTGGTAATGTTAGAGGCTCTGAACCTTTCTAACCTTCAGCACATCACAGCAGGGAGCCAACAGCAGTGACCGATCTTCCCGAGTTACCTTTATCAAGTGGGGACTCCTAAATGAGGGCTTGTCCATGCCAGACACGAGTAGGTGCCCCGTTGTAGCAAGAGGGGAACTGACAGTTCCTAGAACAATGTTCCTTTTACCTGCCTAGGAGCACGAGTTGTGGATGCCTTTTTTTTTTAACCCGTCTT